TATTATTTTTTAATATATTTATATTTTATTATATGTAAATAGCAGGAGAATCGGTTACAGTGGTTTTCCATTTTATATTTCGCGCTTTTCGGTGTTAGATAGCGCTGCAAACGTTGTCCGAAAGCGTTAGTCAAGTGTATTGTACAATGAAAAGGGATTACATCGCATTATGTCCGTCAGGTCATAGTTTTTACACGGTTATATTTGGTGAAGTCGTGCGTGACGAGTTATGCAACATTTGGTGTAAAAGCGCCCCATAATAGGACGTCCAGATATTGTGACACCTGACCTACTTAGACGGTATCGTCGTATTTAAGACAGTGGTAAATTGACAACATTTATAACGTGAAAAACACATTTGACAGCCTTTCAATTTGCAGATTCTAAATGCCTGCAAACACGAGAGAACAGGAAAATCTTTCGGAAATTGCGTCTTTCCGTGATACATTATTGGAACACAGTGCCGTGACTAGTAAATCCTGGTACCCACATAAAACCTCGCTCATTACGTTCCTTCATCCGAATTACTTTCCCTTTTGTTATTGTTGAATGTGGTACAATTAAAAGTAAATAGTTACAAGAATATTACAGTGTTCGAGACATCATATATTAAACGCGAAGATTTATCTGACGGAGTTCTTCCTAGATTATGTGGCATTTAGGAGATTAGTATAGTTCATATTTTCCCTTTCGTTGTCCACTGCCGTGCCTGTGAATTGCAAATCGGGCGCAACCTGAATCTTCAATAATTCATTCATATTAAACATACCTATATCACAGCAAAGATAAAAGTTTTTACATTGATTTTAAAACAAGCGGCTGACTTATCATTTACAACTTCACAACGTGCAGTTGACTAGTAGTTTTTAATTCTATGAAAAATTGCAATTTCAAACATTTTCTAATATTCGAAAAATGAATAATTTATCGAAGTGAGATTATCTTCTTAAAGATTAGTGGATGAAAGTTATATTTCTCTTGTAGTGGAAAGCATACATCGTAGAATCGAACAATTGCAATATTGCTAATTAACACATGGAACATCCAGTAGGAAAGGAAACTAAAAATTTCTAGATCTTCGTTTTTATTTTCACTTTTACAAACATACCGCACACACCTTTAGCAATACTTCGATTGTCATAACCTGTTGTTGTATTATCGATAGAGAGTTGGAGAGTTATATGCGAGGTTTGAATTCGAGAAAAGGTTCAACAAATAGACAAATCAATAGATGTAGTATAGCAATGGCAAAAATCGTAAGGTGGGTAAACAGAAACGTGATTTTGGAGCGTGGTACCGATAGAGCGAACAGACAACGGGCACCGGCGCGTAGCGCACGGCCCTGGAACTCGTGCTGTCAGAGCGCAACGGTGCGCCGGACGCTCGCTTGACTAAGGGAGTGCCCGTCCCGATGCAAAGTGTAAGTGAAGTGGCCTACAGACCTACATTTGTCTAACGTTCGATTTTTTTCGAGCCGGCGGACAGGAGGTTAATAATCCGCGCGGGGCTCATTTTTCCGCGGGCGTGTGTGATGTCGCTGTTGTGTGATATACCGATGTTTGGTTGAAAGAGACGGTGTAGTTTCGGTACGCTCAGACGGCGCTGGCCGGCGCGGGGAGCGTAGTAGTAAAAAGAGAGGAGGACAGCAAGAGCGTGCGCACACGAGGAGGAAGAGAGAAAGAGAGAGAGGGAGCACACCGACGACGGGCGAGAAAGAAAGAGAGAGAGTGAGAGAGAAAGAGAGAGTGAGAGAGGGAAGAAGAACGAGCGCGCGCGGTTCTCCATCGGCTAGACAGAGAGGAAGGAACCGAGACAGACAGATAGATAGACGGGGGTAAGAAAGAGAGCGAGGGCACGTAAGGAGAGTGTGTAGGTGTTTCGAGAGAAGTGCGTGCGTGCGCTCGGGGACGACGTGCAGGAGGAGGGACCCCCGTCTGTCTGTCTGCTGGAATGCACGAGGGCCGAATGGCTACGGGGACAGGGGAAGGTGGGGGCCACACGGCCCTCGAGAACACCACTGCGACGGCCCTTACGGAATCATCGTCGTCCTCCTCCTCCTCGGTACCGACCATCCTCACTGAAAACAACACCGCGACTAATCTGCCTTTGACGGGACTTCAACAACCGACCCTTCATCAGGTGCAACCACAGCAACAGGCGCAACAACAGCAACAACCACAGCAACAACCACAGTCGCAAGCACGGGTCAACTTGGTCACTGATCTGCCAGCGAACGATGCATCAGGTAACCTCAACCACTCATTTCTATGCTCTTGCGAGTTCTTTGTTGCCGCCTGTAGTGTACCGCTTGCCAAACTCCCTTCTTCTTTCTCCTGCTTTTGCCTTCTCACTGCTTCACTCTCACTCTTTGTGCCGTTTTTCTTTCTCGCTTTCGCTTTCGACCGTCTCCCTCTCACTTCGTGCGTGCAGTCTTTCGTCCTTTCCCCCTTTCCTTTTCTCGCCAACGTTTACACGTTGTCTGCTCTTCTCCCTCTCGCTCTCCCTCCCTCCCTCCCTTTCCCTCTCTCTTACTCTGTCTTTCGCTCCATCGCTCTTTCTCCCCCTCTCTCTGTCTTTGTTGCTCGCACGCTTATACACTCATTTCGCTCATACGCTTGTTCGACTCGGTCCACTTCCGAAGTTACAGGTACAACACGATCTCATTCTTCCTCATTGTCGCAACGTACCGGAGCATTACGTTTTCAGATAATTCTCTCGCTTCGTGTATCATCCACAACGATACTTTTCTTACGCTCGCACGCGAGTAGTAATTGCATTTCGAGCGGGTCGTAATAGAAACATTAGCGGCTCGGTTTTATCGCGACCCGTCGTTAATAAAGCGCACAATAATAAAATGAATCTCATTCATCGATGCGTCTTTAATGAGTACTAGTGCTCGATGCTAATTCGCCGAAGCTTATTAACAATTCTTTATCGGTATATCGTGTATCTCTGTTCGCTTAGTTCATTCTCTGAAAGCTACTCAATTTATCCGTGTACCTACGTCGTATCTGAAATACACACAGTATGCAAACTCCACTCCATATGAAACAGCTGGTTCCATACGAAACGTTACTAGAAATATTACTAGTGACATCTCTAGAAACCACAAAGAAGCGAAAATCATATTGCAATAACCTAAAACGATACTTTACATCGTGTAGTAACACGATAATAAGAAACAGAAAAAACGTTGGAATCCGATAGTATGCCCACACAACAGGGCATACCGAGTCTTTTTTTCCCTGTACAAATGAAATTCGTTTGGCCGTTAACGAATCGGGGGGGTCGCGCGACTGCCTACGCGATTCCTCGAACGCTGGCCGTGACTGTCGCGCGGTAACCGCACGCAACAGGCGTTTCGCGGCGAATTCCGTGGCGAGGATGCGAACAAGCGCCCCGGCCACCATCCCGCCGCTTCAGATTTAGAACAGACAACCTTCGAGCATTTCTTTATGAGCGTTCGTTCTCTGGTGTACAAGGCGGCGGTTCGACCCTTCGCGGGCGAAATAGCGGTTCGATGAAACGAGACTCGCTCGCCTTTATTTGCGTCCACGATGTCACCCTCCGTGCCCCACCCCTTTCGCCCTACCCCCACCCCTTACTTCAT